AGTGTGTGTGCAGTGTTTGAGTGTTTTGTGTAGTGTGTGTGTGCAGTGTGTGAGTGTTTTGTGTAGTGTGTGAGTGTGTTGTGTAGTGAGTGTGTTTGCAGTGTGTGAGTGTTTTGTGTAGTGTGTGAGTGTGTTGTGTAGTGAGTGTGTTTGCAGTGTGTGAGTGTTTTGTGTAGTGTGTGTGTTGTGCAGTGTGTGAGTGTGTAGTGAGTGTGTTTGCAGTGTGCGTGTGTGTGAGCGTGTGAGCGTGTTGTGCATTGTGTGACCAGTGCTGGCCCTTTAAGAGCAGCAGGGGCGGGGCAGTGAGCAGCATCTTGTCTGTGGTGTTGTCGTGTGTGTGTGTCAGTGAGCGTGTCAGTGAGCCTCTCCTCCCGGGCAGCGGCTGCAGAACGAGCGTCCGCAGGTTCAGGTAAGAACATTTCATAAAGAACTGAATCTGAGCAGAGGACACTTCCGGTCCGGTGTTCAGGCGTAGTCTCTCTCTCTCTCTGGTAAAGTGCAGTTCAGAGCGCGTCAGACGAGGCTCCGCGCTGAGTGGGACTTCTTTTGTGAAGCGGCGGTCCTGCCCATTCCTCCCGGTCCTCTCTCCCCGGACTAGCGGCTCCTTTATCCCCACAAACCGGCTCTTTCTCCTCCTCGCGCTCGCATCGCTGCTTCACATTCGGTTTTCGTTATTTCCTCCCTCGTTTTTCTTCTCGTTCAGAGGAGTAAACCCGCGGACTCTCACGCTCGCTGCTCCGGTGCGTGTCTTTTTGTTCAGAGCATCACTGGAGGCTCCAGACTCACAGAAGCGTCATTAATGAGAAAATCTCTAATATCACAATAATAATGATATTGATACTAATTCTAACGCAGCTCAACGTGTCTGTCACTCTGAGGTGTGAGTTTATTATAATGTTTTTATTAATAGAGGAATTCTCTGCAGAAAAGCTGCACAGTACCCCTGTTAAATTCATAACACACTGTTGTTTTCGTTATTAAGCTAAACTTCTACTTTAACTTTCAGAGTTGCAGCAGTGAATCCCACTGTATGTTGTTGCATGGCCAAATTATGACCCCACACCGTCATTCCAAAACCAGCAAAACACACTTGGGTGTTTGTGTCCTTCATTATGAAACTTTTCCATAAGCCTCAGGCTTGATCTGTTGCTGCAACCCGACCATTTCTTAATTTGATGAAAGGAAGTGAAAAAAGCTCACTTGAAGACTGCATGAGGACTCGTGGGAGAGGGTGGGTCTGTGCATTCTGCAAGTTCTTCATTAGTTCCAGATGTTCATCAGCTCCTCCATGCTGCTCCTTGGCCCCTCACTTTTGCTCGTCTCCCCGCCCAAAGCTGGTCAGTGGTCGCTGAGGGGAGTTTGTGTCCTCAGAAGACAGATGAGGTCTGGTGGAGTTGTGTGTCAGCAGGGCAGGAGGAAGGTAAACAAGACCAAACCTCTAATGAATCACACTTTCATTGGCGATGCTTGCTCCTTTCTTGAGGGAGCCTCCTCTGATTTCCCTTAATGAACTAATTTATAGGGGGAAAATTCATGAATCCACGTTTTTCTCCCAGAATAATACAAGAGTTCTACTCTGTGTGACGTGATGTATTACATGTGTGGCACATTGTCCAGAATCATCAGCAAACTCATCAGATGTTGTTTTGATGAATTGTGCAGAACTTGGCAGGATGTGGGGGTGTAGTCATAGGCCTGTTGCACTGCATCATACAATACACCCCTGTCCTGCTGTTGTGTAATGGGCTCATGCTTGTATTAAATCACCTACTAGCGAATACAGCCAGCGATTGTGGCAGCTGCGTGGCATTTAAAAAGTGGCTCTGTGCTGTCATTCGTGCCCTTATAGGCTGTCGTCTGTGGACTCCAATCATCTGTCTCCTGGGGTTTTCCTCATGATGCAATATAGTTCAACAGCACCACAACAACTAGACAACCGTATAGTTAAAAACCAAAAACTGAACATTATACCATTCATGCTGGCAGGATGAATCGTAATAGTTTTAGCTGGGTGGAGCGAATAAACTGCCAAGTGTATAACTCTGTACTGTTTTAAGATCCAGTCAGTGTAATAACAGTGAAAGCCGACTCTTCCTCTGTGGGACCCCTGGAATCCCATCAGAGACCCTTGGGAGTTCCCCCCAGGGCTGCAAGTTTTGGAATTTCTGATCAGGTTTGTCCGCAGCTGGAGTTTCCTACAATATTTTTTTTCTTCTCCTGAGCTGGAATGTGATTGTCTCATCGCAGCATTTGGACGCAGGGGTGCCACAGTGGAATGCAGGGTTATAAACCCCATTTGGACACTGGGCCACACGCCGGGCATTTAAATGGTTTAGCGAAGCTAATGAAATTACACCCTGAACCTGTATGAGACTGTCTGTCACTGTCTCGGGGTAACCACGGATTAGCTATTTGGGACAGTTTTACTGCAAGATGAATGACCTGTTCTGTTGAAACGATAGACAGCGATAATTCTATTCATCGCTTGAAATAAATAGAATGTCACTAAGTAGAGTACATTACTCTGCCAAGGCCCAAATGTCTCCTAACAAAACCACATTAGAATTCTCTAGATCTGGATTTTTATTTGGACTAAACGGCACACATCATAAATATCAGTCCTCTAAACATGCCTGATTTTATTCCATCAAGATCTATGAATTATTCTGCGTTATCAACACAAATGTTGAAAAATCTTGCATTGTTTAAGAAAGTGAAAAAAAATTCCTGGATCCGTTCCTTGATCCAGGTCTGTACCAAAATTTAATAGGTTCTTCCCTGATCCAAGTTTTGTGGTAATCCACCCAGTAGTTCTTGCGTGATCTTGCCCACAAACAAACAAAAGCAGATGAAACTATAATCTCCTTAGCTGAAGTAATGAAGGTTATTGATACGCACATGCAGTCAAGTTTTGTTTCCTCCTTCTATGAACAGCATTCAAATCAGTAATGAGCAAAAACCCCAATATTGTTGTTGTTTTCTTCCCATATG